CTAGGGTAAAAATATTGGCAAAAAAACACACACACACAATAACAAATAAAAGTATAAAAAATCAAAACAACAATTAAAAAATAAAATAGATAAAAAATGAATTCCAAATCAAAACAATAACAATAATAATAACATACCTGTACATATTATAACAGAAAAAAAAAAGATAAAAAAAAAACAAATTTTTAATATATAAAGAAAACTGAAAAAATATACAGACAAACATTCAATAATAATTACAAACATGTATACTATATAATATATATGTATGTTTGGATGTAGTTCATCTCAAAGATACACGCAACTGAATATATTTTCATTTAAGAAATATTAATAAAAAAAAAAATATAAAAAAAACAAAGATAAAAAGATAAAAGCAAAATAAAATGAAAAACAAAGTTGTTCTTGTACAGCTGTTGCATCAGGCGCAAGAAGCGGCTTCTTTTATCCTGCCACTCTATTGTTTCCGTATCAAAAGGCCACTATTATGTAAACAATCGGCTCTTTTGATGTTAACCGCATCAAAGAGATGCCGACTTACTTTTGAAACGGAACAGATATAAAGTATATCCGAACCGAACACTTTTGGGCCTCTTCTTCGTTATTATTTTTATTTCGTTTAGGTTGTATTTTTTCTTTATTTGATTTTGATTTTTTTAATATTATTTTTGTTTTTGTTGCTGTAATCAGCGTGGTTGTTATCGTCGTCGGCAATAGAATTGAATGCTGATTAAAGAAAAAAAAAAGAGAGAGTAAGAGAGAAAAGTTTTATTTTTTTTTTTTTAGTCAGTCAGTCAATTTAGTTAGTTTATTAGTTAATATGAAGTTTTGTGTTAATTGTTTGTGTGTCTGTGAATGAATAAATGTAATTTCGAATATAGATTGATTGTTTTTCCTTTTATTGTTTTCTTTTGATGTTTTATTCTATTACCTATTTTAGTTTTTACAGGTATAAGTTGATGAATTTAATTTTTTAATTTGAAAATATTTTTTTTATTGCAATAATCAAATTTTCGTGTATGCGCTAAAACAAAATAGGAAAATGTGTTGAAGGGGGCAAATAACATAATTTTGTTAATTCTGGTACATCTGTTTTATTATTGTTCAAAAACACATATTGGATAATAATATCAACTCTATTAAATAAAATCAAAAATTGAAATTTTTGATTTTTTTGAAAATGCAATTTACAAATTTCCAAAGAAATTTAAATTTTCCAAATAAAATTCGAACTACATTCGTACCTATATGGTTATACTTTATTAAATTTCTGTGGGGCAAGTGAAACTATTAAGTGAACAAGTTTATATGTATAAAGATTCCAAATATATATTGATTGCAGTTTCTGAAAGTGTAGAAAACAGTAAAGACATCAAAAACCATTCGGTTTGTTTTTCGCTCCCCTTTTTTAGTAATTCGATATCAGAATTGTTCTTATCGAAAATTCTTATAATTCTATCAAATTATATAGGTGTAAATAAATAAATGGGAAGTTAAAAGCAATTTTCAAACTTTACACAAAATACATTAAAATTACATATATATAGGCCCCTTACAATTTATAATAATGAATAAAAACACTAAAAATTTCATATTATAAAAAAGTAATATAAAAAAAATTTGTATGTATTACAATTATTGTCAATTTTTCAATTTTGCAATATTCTTCACACAAATGTAAGTATGTATGTATATATATTTAGTTTACATGTCCTATATTTAAAAATTAAATTTTATTTAAACGATTGAATTTTCCTGTTTGCGTTAATCGATTGGAATGAGCTTCGCTCAACTTTTAAACGACCTTGCATGAAAATTTTGTATTTTAGTTTTTTTTTTGTTGTCGAAGTAAAGTAAAATAAATTTAAAAATAACATCAGAATAAAAATAGAAGGCACAGATTTATTTATTTACTTACCTTTAATTTAAAAAATTTTTTATGAAAACAAGAAAAAAAAAAATAAAATTAGGACTCTAAAGTACGAAAACATGATTTTTATTTAATCAAAAGCAAAAGAAAAACAAATAAAGAAAATCGAGAGAAAGAGAATAAAATTCTTTACACCTTACATTATTCTCCGTAACCTTTTTCCCTTTGATCATCTCATCTGTCCTATGTTGCAACTATTTTCGTTTCTCTTTTTTACGTCTTCTCTTTTTTCTGAATACTATGAAATATTTTTAATTTTCAAAATTAAAAATTAAATGCATTGCAGTGCATTTAAGTTAGAATAATGCGGACATTATGGGAGTGAATATTTTTGGTAATAGGGCAGAAAATTTTAATAAATTTAATAAGATAGTATGTAAATCAAGTTTGTTGCCTTGGTATAAGGAAGAAAATATCCTTTTATTAAAATGAATAACAATTATTTTTATACTTCCATTTCTATAACTAGACTGAATCTATTTTGTAAGATAACCTAATAATGAAATGAATTTTATTTTTTGGAACACTTTTTGTAATAGTGGGCATAGATTTTACTGTAGGTATATAAAAATATGGAATACTTAAATTTTTAGGAGAGAATCGAAAGTAAAATGCCAATAAATTAATTATTGTCAAGTTAATACGTATTAATAAATTTAAAAATATTTTTGACAATACTCGTATTGTCAACATAACAAGAAAATTAATTTTCTTCTTTAAATAGTGATTTAAATTTCCGTAATATTTAGTATTCTCATTCAATTTGTAAACGTTAACTAATCGTCGCTATAATAAGAAAAGAAAATCAAATTATTCTCTTTTGTTTGTAACATGTTATTCTCCTCCCTTATATTTTTCTCTGTACATATTCATCTTTCTTTACTCATTTTTGTTAATGTTATGTTACATGTTATATGTATGTTAAATTAAAAACATGATACAATGAATGTTCGAAAAAAGAATGTAATAATTATTTTGTGTTTTCAACAATAATTGACCTCGAATAAAAAAAAAAATTTTTACAAAATTCATTTTCGAAAATAGATTTTTGAATGATCAACATTTTGCTCAATATATAAAACCTTATTTTCTTTTTTTCTTCAGCAAAATCTGAATAAAATTTGTTAGCTTGTTAGCTTTACTTAGTCCATTCTTTTGTGAGTCAGTTTTCCAAATTTGTACACTTTTTAAGATAGAAAGATTCAACTCAAAGTTATTTCCCTTCAAAGTCCTGATAATGCCATTTTTTGTAACAAAGCCACAAACAGTATTTTAATTCTGAGAATGCTTAACGCATTCGAAAAGCATTCGTTTCATCATTCGGAACTGCAAGCTGCTCCATATTTTTATAAACGCAATAAATATCGGTAGGTGATTTGAAATCAGTACTTTCAGAAAATATGATTAACGGTTCCTTAAATTTTTGTTGCCTTTCACAAAGTGTGCAATAACTATTGTATAATATAATATATAATGGGTACTAGTAAGTATAAGGTGTGAGCATTTTTGTCAAAAAAAAAAAATACTTCCAGTTGTTCAAGGGAAATGTGACTTTCTTATAATATTTGTTTGATACGAATCTGTTATTTTCTGTTTTACTGTACAGCTTCTTCAGGATATACTTAAATTTCGCGGTTCCTTTAAGTTTTGTAATTTAACAAACCCATTACATTCAGAGTATTATTAATAATACTATAGTATTGAAAATGCAGATTAAGAAGTTTTGTTTTTACTTACAAAATGTAAGCCAACTCTGAAATGTTCTGCTATTATCATACAAATTTGATAATTTAATTTTTTTCCACCGAATACAGAGTGAGTAGTATAGAAGTTTTTATGTAAAATAATTTTAGCATTAGCTTTTCTTCCACTTTCATTTTTAATTTTGCTTTTGAACTATTTATAAAATTACTTTGCTTATGAGTATAGTTCATTAAAGCTCTAAGTCGTAAAATTCATAGGTCTAGTTAAATTAATGGATGAATAGGAAAGAGAGAATTTGTCAGTTTATGAAAATAAATTATTTGGTTTTTAGGATACAAGTGAGAAGAATATTTTGAATGGAAACAGCTATTTTTAAAGAACGCTGAATGCGCTGAAAATTATCTTGTGAGTCATCAATTGATCAACCCTAGCTCTTAAAATAAACTATATTTTAATTATTTGTCAATTTCGTACCTTCATTGTAACATTTAAATCTGTAGTTCACCGTGCTGATCAAAAGGTCTTGTTCTTCTTATATTGTACTTTGTTTTATTTTTATGTTTATACGAAAGATTTGATTTTGAATTTACGACTACCACGACAACATTAAAATTATTTTTCTTTACTTTTTCTCAATTTTTTTTTTGTTTTATTTTTTTCTGGTATTCTTTTGATTTTATTTTTCATTTTTTTTTTTGTTCATATTGTTTTGAGTTTTTCTTTATGGTGCGCTACTAAAGTAAAGTTTTTAAGTAAAAATGTAAAGTCTTTGTCGATTTTTCTTCATTTCGTGTCGATCAGTTGACAGAGATGGATTGTAAAGTATTTCGGTTATATTTTCCGGTTATTATAATACAATATCGTTTACGAATTATCCTTAGGTAAAAGGAAAACAGAGAGAAATAATAAATAAAAATTATTATTAAAATAATTGGTTTAAATAAAAAGAAAAAACGAAAAAAAAAATTTTTTTTTAAATATCGTAAAGAGTGAAAAATCGAATCTTATATGATAACAGTGAGAAAATAAAAAAAAAAATAAAATGTAAAAGAAGCGAGTGAAATTTTGTGAATTACAATAAAAAAAAATTAATATTCTCAGAAATAGTAAATGTATGTATGTATGTATAAGTAATTATAATTCCTTATTTTTTGATTAATTAAAAAAAAAAATTGCATCAAAACAAAAAAAAATTTTTTTTACATTTTAATTTTGTTGAAAAGTTTTTTTATTTTCGGATTTTTAATTTTTGGATATTGAAATTATTGTTTTATAATTGAATTTAAAAAAAAAAATAATTATATAAAATAAATATAATTAAAATTTAAAATTCAAAATTATGACAGATAAAATGTTACAAATAAACATGAGGACTAAAATTTTAAAATATACGGTAAGATTTACAATTTTTTTAAAAAGTCGTCAGCTCAATATAGAGTTTAATTATAATAGAATAAAAATTTCTGTATAGAATGGAATTGAAATTTAATTTTAAAGTTTTTTGTTTATAAGAAGTTTCTTTCTATTCCTTTAATAATTTTCGTATAAAATTATTAATGTTATTTAAATCGCACTAATAAATTAAATTACTTACTCTGGAATTTTTAGAGGATCCAACAAAATCTTTATATTATTTACTTTTCGAATAAGCTTTAATTTAAACTACTCTCTACGTGAAATTTTATGAAAAGTATTAATCAGGGTGATCTTACCCACATCTATGTATAGGCTTCCATATATAAAAATTATTTTATAGTATTTTTGCAAAAAAGCAGAATAAAAATAATAACAGATTTGAATTAAGTTAAAAAAATGGCAATTTGAGTACAGGGATCAAGCTCATTTCTCGGCCGCTCTTAACTTATTACTTCTTTTCCAAATATTCATTTTTGAAACAATTATATTGAAACAGATATGTTTTTAAGCTTTAAATTTTTTTCAATAACTTTATTGAATTGTTATATTGTAATATATATGTTATTAAATATGACCAGGTCTCGGCAATATGTTATTATTAAGCAATACAAATAAAACAATTAATTTAAATTTCATAATATGAGTATTAATTTTAAAAAATTTAGTTTGAAATTTTAAAAGAAAATAACACTTGTATAATGTAATTTCAAGTATAATTCTTCGTCGTTTTATCACCAGGTTTTATAAAAAAGGTGTATTTTTCAGCTAATAAAATAAACTTAATATTAGGACATTAATAACAATTCATTGGTTCTACATAAGGTAAAAATTAAAATTAAAAATTAAAGTAAGCATTCTCTTGAAAATTGGATCCGTAAAAATGGGTAACACAAATTATCTAAAATAATAATAATGTATTAATAATTTTTTGCAAAAATTTTTCTGTTTTATGAGTTATGTATGAGAACTATAATGAATGGTATATTAATATATATAAATATGAATTTATGCGAGTTCCAAAACATGTGTACATAAAGAAAAGCAAGATTTGTGTTTATAAAATTATTTTTAATAAGCAATTATTAAAATATATTAAATTTAGTTCCTTAATAAAATCAAATTTTCAGTCAAACAATTCAACAAATAATTAATTAATAATGTCGTTCCGAAAAATTCAAAAATTTGTGTACATTTTTTGTTTTGATCATGAATATTCGTTAAAATTTTTATATCGTATGCAAGTAGATATATTAAGAAAATATATGTATGTATGCCTAAAAGCCATATATAACCCTATTTAAATTTATATCATAATGTAATTATGCATAAATTTATAAAGTGAATTACATTAAAGTATGTTAAATATATGTACAAAATAATAATATTATGTAGTACAATTTAAAAAAAAAAGAACAAAACAAAAAAAAATTTGCAAGTATTTTATTAAAAATAGTGCTATACTATCGTATAATAGGACATAAACATATCATACACACAACACTATACACAAAAACATATTTTACAGAAAAAAAAATAAAAACAAAACATAAAAATACAGAAAAATAATAATAATAAAAGAACAACAAAAAAAATAATAACAACACAGCAACGATAAAACAGAAGAAATAACAGAAGAGGAAAGAAGTAAAAAAAAAAAAATAAGAAAATAAAAGACAAAAAATAAAAAGAAAAGCACAAGAAAAAAAAACAACAACAGCCATAGACTTAAAAGAAAACCGTCTTTAAGAAGTTGAACTAAAAAATCAGTTTGACTTTATTTAAATGGCGTAATTTATCCTTTTGTCGGCACATTTTGAATTACTTTTTGTTTTCTTATTTTCTTTTTTTCTTTTATGCTTTTTCTCATTTTATTTTCCTTTCTTCTTCTTATTTTTTGATTATATTATTTTTTCAATTTGTTTTTTTTTTTTTTTTGCTTCTTCTTCTTCTTACTATGAAATTCTCGTTTACCAGTGAAATTGCATTTTTTATCACATTATGGCTTGTGCTGGACCTGTTGTTGGCTGGCAGCATATTTTTCTTAAATGTTTTATTTTCTTCTTCTTTTCTTTTCTTTTATTCTTTTGTTTTTTTTTTCTTTTTTCTTTCTGTTTCTTTTTTAATACATTGGTATACATACACACATATGCATTTATAGTTTTTAAATTTTCATGTTATTTTTCTGTATATATGTATGTATGTATAGAAGTATATAGTTTAATGTTAAGTCACTTTATGCAGACGTACATTTTATGTGTGTATATCAAATATGCTGTTAGGTATAATAAGTACTTATGTATATACCATATAACATATATTGCAGTATAATAGTTTAATATTATTATAACTTTGGTATAATGGTTGAATATACCGCTTTAGCGGCAATTATGAGAGTATTTTCATGAAGTTTACAATTTTTATTGTTTATTATTATTATTGTTTTTCTTTTTCAATTTTTTATTCAAAAAAAAAAAAACAAAAAAATAAACAAAAAAAATTTTGTTTTTTTTTTTCGTATTTGATTGAAGGAAAGTTTTTAGCGCCTAAATACATGTATACATACAATTGTAGATATGTATATACATGTGTATATAAATGCAATACCTGTTAAGGTGAATCCCTGTATGTATGTTAAAAATAAAAAAAATAAAAAACAAGAGAAAATTTTAAAAGAGCAAAATATACAAAAGAACTTTATACAAAACAAAAAATGTGACAGGCGGGTATTTTCTTTCTTTTTTCTTCTTATTACTATTTTTGTAGATTTTCATTTTTGTTTTGTTTTTTTTTTTTTCAATTTGTATTTGTCGTTGTTTTTCTCCCTTGTTTATGTGACATGCAACCACGTGTTCATAATATTATGTACAATATTAAATAATAAAAATATTAATATGTATGTAATTCTTGAGATTAAAAAATTATGTGGATAACAATTTTTTAATAAATTTATAATAAATAATAAAAAAACAAAAAATGATAAAATTGAAAAATGGGGGTAAATAAACAATTTTTTCTTATTATTTTTTTTTTTTTTGGATTTTTTATTGATTATTGTGTTTATTATGGTATGCAAGTATATACTCTGACAAAATTTAAATTATATTCAAAATACGTTCATAATATTAACACACGCATTAACAAATTTCAAATTTTACAATTATTATGTGAAGAATAAAATAAATAAATTGAAAATTAATAAAAGAAAAAAAATTTTAATAAAATTAAAATCACAATTAACAAATGATTACTTTTAATTCTTTTGTACTTCTATACATTTAATCTCCTTTTTATTTTATTAACGATCGCTATAAATTTTAAAGCAATTTACTTTCAAGTAACTACATATACATTTGCCAGTATTATTGTGTGTATATACGAATATATCTTCAATATTTATATATGTTTATATTCCTTCAGATATTTTTGTGCAGAGAATGCAGAACACATTCATTTCTACTTTTTATATTTTTATTTTTCTTTCTTAATTTTTAAATTAATTTCATTATTTTTATTATCCATTTTTTTTTTTATTAACCATATAAATACATAACTACATATTTTTGTTCATATATACAAATGGGTACTTATTTCATCTTACTTAAATTGTAGTATATACTTTGTATATACCTGAACATAACGTATATACATTTGTACTTATTTATTTTATAAAATCCTTTAATACAATTAACCGCACTCTACTGCATTTTATATTTGTTGCTTGTTATTGTTTTGTTGTTTTTTTTTTATATTGTTTTATAATTCCCAAAGGGCGGCTATCAATGAATTAAATGGAAATAATTTTTTAAGCCACTACTGCCAATGCGTAATACAAGTTGTAAGTAGTTAATATATGAGTTGATTATTACTTAGTTGTATATGTCCTGAAGGCTCATAACAAAACAAAAACTCAAAAAAAAAAAAAAGAACAAAAATTACAATAAAATAAAATTCATGCACCTGTATTAAAACAAAATAAGAAAAAATAAAAAGGGTTATAAGAAATCAGAAAAATATTTACAATTTTTTCTTCTTGCATTTTGTTTTTTGTTTTGTTTCTCGTTTTTATCGTCGTCGTTTAAAATATTATTATTCTTCATATCTAAAGGATATATGAACATTATTATTATTATTAAATTAAAATCTAAAGAGGTCAGGTACTTAGAGGAAATTTTAATTTTGTTTTTTTTTTTTTTTTTAAATTTGAATTGTTGTTTTTTTAGTATGTGTAAATTTAGTTTTTTTTCTGCAAAAATTTTTTAAATTATTTGAACTATAGGCCGAATATATTTGACATAATATATTATTTTTATATTTAAATAAACCACAAGTATTTAAAATTAATATGAAATTGGGCGTAGAGAGTCGCCTAAAAATTTGTAAATTTAAATTAGTACATCCATAATATTACAAATATATATTGATATATATCATCATCAAAGGTCGTTCAATTCATAAATTTTTGAAATCTCACAAATCTAATTTCTGTAAGGTTTTTTAAACAGAAACAATTTTTTTTAAAGAATTTTAAAAAAAAGTTTTACAATTTATAACAGATGAAAAATGAGGACAAAATATTAAAATTGATTTGTTGTCAGCAAAACCAAAATAAGATTCTGAAATTTTGAATACTGAAAATTTTGTAATGTTTATGAAGCTCTGAATGAATTCAAAATTGCACCGTAAAAAGGTTTTATTACACAACTCAACGATAATTATAACTCAATATCATTATAATTGTAATTTTATAACAGTAAAATGAACATATATAATATCACGTTACATATGAAAAAATTAAGAGGTTTAATTATAAAATAGCAATTATTGTTAGATTAAGAGTTTTCGATTTTATTTTTGATGAACCAAGTAAATCTATTTCAAAGTCGCCTTACGTTATGCAAACGGCTATGCAAATATTCTGATATTCGTATAATATTAACATTGATGGTCGCACTTTTAAGCAGTTAAGTGAAAATTATG